TTCAATGTTTTTTTTTTGTGGTTTTAGTTTGTTTAGTGTGGATAGTCTGTTTTGTGTTCTAGAGAGCAGAGGTCTTGTATTGAATGTATGATGTATTCAATGTTCGTAAACTTGTACATATAATATCTTTTTCCTCACAAATCTATTTGTTTGTGATAGGGCACGGAATTTAGATGTCGATGTGCCCCTTCGTTCTTTAGAGATATAATGGACAAGACAGTTGTCGTGCTTTCTGACCGGCACAAGGAGGCTCTTCAAAAGAGTCCGTTTTATTTTTTTCTAAATATGCCTGATATACCGGTGTTACATGGTAGAGTGGAGGCCTTAATTAGCACATACAAGGCAGATGTGAATGCCTTTGTTGTAGGTGATAATTTGTCTCTTATTTTTGACCCCGCCGAGTTCTGTGTAACAATGGGGCTTCGACAGGGCGGTCTAAGCGTAGACTTAGACCTTTCTTTAGATTCGAAAGCCCTATTCGAAGGTTGGGGTCGAGCAGGTAAAAAATTTTTGAAAAGAAAGCAAGTAGTAGATTTGTTACAAAAGTTTTATGTTGATGAAAGTCGTATAGACGACTTCATCAGAATGTATAGTTTGTTAGTTTTTAGTTGTATTTTGTTTCCTTGCTCGAGTTACTCGATCCCCAGGTTTGTTTACCCTTACCTGGAGGATGTGAGTCGAATTTGTGAGTACGCATGGGGAGATGCGACTCATAAATTCTTGCTTGCAACGCTTGTTCGCCACGGTGATTCGACAGACCGAGCTTACTTTGGCGGATGTGTGGTTGGGCTGATGGTATGTATATATGTGTTTCAATATCGTAATACAATAATATTAAATTGTGAGATTGTATAATTTTGACATCATGTGTATATGTGTAGGCTTGGTTGTACGAACGTGTGCCTTCTCTGGGCAAACGTTCCACACTCGAGGCGATTCCCCGTCTATTTCGATGGAAGGGGAGCACAATGTCGTCAACGTTTCAAGGGTCTTTACATTCCCTTAAAAAAATAATGAGGCATAAGGTAATTTATATGAACTTATAATATGTGTTTTCTACTTCTTCTTTTTATCTTTTTGGTTAATCGATTTTGTACCTAAATCATTATGATTTGCTTTGCAGGTGTACTCGATATCGCCTATTATGGAAGAGCGTGCGTTTGTGGAAGCCCAGGTTTTCCTTTAATTTTTGTCCATAATTTGTGTTTTAGCATATTAGGTACAATGGGCCTTTTAATTTATTTTTTTCTTTTTAATTTCTGTTTTCTTTCATGTACAGGGACCTTTCGAGAGCCGGTTGTTTGCCATGGTTTGTCTTGAGAACGACAAACTTAAAAAACAAATTGAATTGTTGGAGTCTCAGTGGAGAGAAAGAAAGAATGAAGAAAAAGAAAGAGATGAAAAAAGTGAGGAAAATGAGGCTGATGGTGGTGATGGTGTTTGTTTTGCTGAGGAAAAAGAGGAGAAAGAGGAGGAAAAATAGGAGGAAATAGAGGAGGAAAGAGAGGAGGAAAAAGAGTGCGATGAAAAGGAGGAGGAAAAAGAGGAGGAAAAAGAGTGCGATGAAAAAGAGGAGGAAAAGAAGGAGGAACGATGGGCTCTGATGATTGTTGAGAAAGAACCTGTTGTGGATGACAATGAAGATGTGACTGAGTTTGATAACTTGGACCGACTTGTAAATCTTGTAGTCGAGGATGCTGGTTTGATGGAGGGATCGGATGCTGGTTTGATAGAGGGATCGGCTGCTGGTTCGAGGGTGGAGGAGACAACAACCCTCCTCAATGGTGAAGAGGGTTCGGGAGAGGGAAGGGAGGAAAAAGACGACGAAGCCGGTGGATTTTATGACCCCTCCGTCATCCGGTCCGAAGAGGCAGAAGAGGCAAAAAAGGCAGAAGAAAGAAAAAAAAAAGCAAGAGCAGTTGGTGACCTTGGATGATGATGAGGTAATTAAACTAGCAATTTTATGTTTGTAATTCATGTGATTATTCGTGTTGTTTTCATAGGAATAAGTACTTATTTTGTAATGTAGGAGAGTGACAAGAATGACGACGATGAGGATTGTTCGCTGAATGAATACAGGGGCAGAGAGGATTTCAGTGGACGCGGGGTTGTCCCGGAAGAGGATGTTGCAGTCATCCGGTCGTTTTTGGCAAGCGACCAATTGAGGTAACCGAAATGACGTTAATTATTTTGATTTTTATTATATCATACTAATTAAAATTACAAATTTTGGTAGCAAAATTGTGTGGAGCAATGACCGAGTTGTGGTCCGAGGGAAATCGATGTGCTCTCTTTTGTTCGGGTCGGAGTTGAATTCGTCACTCATTGATTGCTATATGACTATCCTGCGTGGCTGCCATCCTCATATCCGATTTTTGCCGACATATGTTCAGGTACCTGGTATTTAAATATACTCTATCTATTAATTTTGTTGATTGTTAATTTGCTAAAAAAACTATTGAATTTGTAGAGTGATGTGGTGAGTGCAATCGAACAAATTAAGCGTAGACCTCCTCGGAAGGAGGATTATGAGGCGTGTGCTTCTACTTTTAGTAGAAGTACTATTGCGGTGCTTGATGAAATGATGAGGTCCTTGAATGGTGCCAAATATGTTTTCTTTCCCGTGGTGAAAAAATTTCACTTCTACCTTCTTGTCCTTAACATTCCTGAAATGGTCTCCGACCCCTAGCTCTAGTCTTCAACTTCAACTTGGTTTTTTCCAATCGTTTTAATTTTTTGGTTTTGGAAAAAGTAAGTTTGTGTACCATAATTCGATGGATAATGCGGCGTATCGAGGGATTGGGAAGAGCTTGGTAAGTGGTATCATGACATATAAAACTTTGTTTTGTAGTGGTACTAATTTGTCTAAATCAGGTACTATATTAAGAATCGTTATATTTCTAATCCTT